ACCTGGAGCCGAAAAGACCTACCTTTCTTAGGGCTCCTGGTATATACCGTTCCTTAAAGAGGTAGGTCTGTTGGGCAACAGGTAGCCCTTAAGCCTTAAGTTGTAGTTTCGGGTTTAGGGCTTCGCTTGGAGTTGCAAAAGCTAAGTCAAACCCAGAAGGCTTGAAGACGGAACCCCTAAAACCCGAGACCCTAGCAGGAAGATGCCCAAGACTAGGGTACATGAGTTTGGGGTCTTATTACGTAGGGCCTAGGGTTTAGGGTTTAGGGGGCCGAAAATTGAGGGTTTAGCTTTTCGAAACTCGTGTTTGGGGCTCTTGGATTAGGGCTCAGGACCTCGGATATAGGGTTTGGGCTTAGGGTTTAGGGGTTTAGGCGTTTAGGGGTTTAGGGCTTAGGTCTGCATGGCCAAAGCATGCTGAAAGACGTTGAATTCCTAGACTCTACAGGGTGGTGCCTCCGGTCGCAGAGTAAGATGTCGTGATGGGCTTTGAGGGCTTCACAAGTTGTCTATGAGGCACGACTGGTGCCTTGAGGCACCCTCAAGTGAGAAAACGAGGATTCAATGGAATGTAAGGGTTTAGGGTTTAGGGTTTAGGGTGAATGGTTTGGTCATAGGAGAGAAGAGGGTACAAGCATTCTAAAGTAGAGCTGGTCAGTTCCTTTTGAACCGAACCCTGCGCCTCTAAGCAGATCCTGAGTAGTGCGATATACTACCAACAGCCATAGCTACGAGAAGAGATGGCTTCTGCAGCTCGTGTAGCGGAAAACCCTCAACCCCAAACCCAAAACCCTAAACGACGGAACACGGTACGGGTAGAGCCTGAGAGCCACGTGATCCCTGGGACCTACATCCCTGAAGCCTGATAAGTGTACAAAAAGTCCCGCGCCGTAAGTCGTGAACCTAAACCTTAATACGAAACACCCCTCGGTACTCCCCCAAGCAGTTTTACATAACAGTACATAACACGGATGGAGCACCAACAGTCTCCATTTCCTGCTCTTAGAGCTTTCGTCTCGGCTCGGTGCTCATGTTTAGGAGTTAACATTAGAGAGACCGTTGGGAATCTAGATATTCTCGATACGGTCCCTTGTAGGAGAGCCATAAGTAGGGTTAATAATGGTCCCCTCTAAGGGGTCTCCTTGGTACACCTGAGGGGTGTATAGCGCTTGGGGGTTCCAGGCAGCTAAGGGTGCGAGCTCGGAAACCCTAAACCCTAAACCCTAAACCACGCATATACAGACGGCACCACCCTCTACGGCAAGCATTGGACGAATTCAGAACAGGGCACGTCGTCTCGCGGACCGGCAAGCTGTTCGGTTTCGTTGTTAAGGTTTAGGGCTTCAGGTTATACGATAATCAAGCAAACGTGCAGGGACGAGATGTGGGAAGTTCTGGCGCCGAATCACTCCGAGTAGTGCTTGGGGAAATGTTGAAATGCAGGGTTCTGGCGTTGTCAATGCAGCTGACAGCACCGTGAGTTTCCATGCCCGACGCCTAAGAAGCTGGAGCGGCTGTTGGGCTTGGGTTTAGGGTTTAGGGTCTATAGGGTTTAGGGTTTGGGGTTCAGGGTTTAGGGTTTAGGGTTGCAGTGCCGGGGGTTTAGGCCTGACGGTTCAAAACCCCAAACCCGTAATCCAAAACACCCGGACACAATACACCCAGCCGCTGAATTGCGGGGTTAAGTGAAGGAACTGGCTGGACAGCTTGACGGGGGGGGGGGGGGCATCATAATTGGAACACGGGTTTTGTGCTAGATTCTGTTATAAACAGACTCCTCTTCTGCAATCATGCAAGACCCAGGCGTCTCGCACAAGCTCAAACTACCCACAGGCCCCATAGTAGNNCCTAATAGGAGCCTAAATATAAGCCACAGAAAGGAACTACTATGGGGCCCGTTTTTCAAGACCAAATATACAAACCCCAAACAGCGTGTAAAGCGCTCCCTTTGAGGAGGTAAGGAAGTAAGTGGTTTGTTTTCGCTTAGGGGTTTAGGGGTTTAGGGTTAAGGGTTTAGGGTGTAAGTAAGTAAGTAAGTATAATCAGGGACACTCTGGACCGGAATAGTGCTACCAAATACTCAGGCTTCTATAGCGGCGTAGCATTTCTGAACCCCAAACCCTAAGCCCTAAAAGCCCAAAACGCTGAAAGCCCTTGACCCTTAACAAACCTGAAACTTTAAACCCCCCAAAATCCTAAACCCTAAACAACCTGCAGCCCTAAGCCCTAAAAGCCCTAAAAGCCTTAAACTCTAAACCCGTAAAGCCCTTAACCCTTATGAAGATCAAGCTTTTGAGCTTACGCCGGGACTGGTTCTGGAAGTAATCAAGGGGAAGAAGTATATGTATATACATATATATATATATAGTTACACGTATATACAAACCTTTTCATAATGGTTCCTTTAAGGAACCGGTCCCCAAAAAGTATTACAGTAGGGTACTCCAGAAGCCTCAACCCTAATACCTAAGCCCCTAAACTCTAAGCCCCTTAACCCGAAACCCTTCAACTCTTCAACCCTAAACCCTAAACACCTAAACCCTAAACCCTAAGACTACCCCTTAACCCTAAACCCTAAACACCAAACCCTAAACCCGACGACTACACCTTAACCCAAAAACCCTAAACACCTAAACCCTGAACACCTAAACCCTAAACCCAAAACCCTAAACACCTGAACCCAAAACCATAAAACCCCTAAACCCTGAACACCTAAACCCCTAAACCCTAAACCCCAAAACCCCAAAACCCCAAAGACCTAAACTCTAAACCCCAAAACCCTAAACCCCTAAACCCTAAAGGCTCGAGGCACGGGTTCGGTTGACGCTTTGACAGATCTCCCCCGGAAAAGGACACACCAGACTAGCGTGTATCGTTTAGGGTTTAGGGCTTTAGGGTTTTAGGGGGGTTTTATGGTTTTAGGATTTAGAGTTTAGGGCTTCGGGTTTTAGGATTTAGGGTTTCGGGTTTGGGGTTTAGGGTTTAGGGCTGAAGGGTTGCAGGGTCTGGGGGTTTGGGGGTTTAGGCTCTATAGGGTCTAAGGCTGAAGGTTTGGGTTTAGGGTTTCGGCTCTATAGCGTTGCAGGTTCAAGATTTAGGGTTTAGGACCGAAGCCCTAAACCAAACCCTGAACCCCAAACTTTACTAAGCCCTGGTCTCCAAACCCCAACCCCCGAAACTTTAAACTCCACAAAGCTAGGTGAACAACCCTAAACCCTAAACCCTAAACCCTAAACCCTGAACCCACAAGCTCCAAGTATGCAAAAACAACCTCCGGTTGGGGTGAAGATGTGAAAATCGCAGCTAACCTCTAGTGAAAGGAAACTACAGGTGGGGAGTTTAGGGTCTATAGGGCTTCTATAAGGCTTCTAGAAGGTATATAAACCTTCTATAAGGCTCCTATATCTCAACGAGGCATCTTCCTTATTTGGGCAGTTTTCCAAATTAGGGTCCCTTTTAGGGTCCTTTTGAAAAGGGTGCCGGACTATTTTCGGGGCCCAAAGGGACCCTAATTTCAAGAACTACCCATTCGTAGAGCGGAAGATTACCTGGATTCCTGCGGGTGAAACCCTAGACCCTCAACCCAAGCTGGGGCGCTTAGGGTTACTATAAAGGCTACTCTCAGGTTGCGGTAGGGGTTACTGTAAGGGTTGCTTTCCTTTCCATGGTTTAGGGCCCGGGGCACCGTGAATAATTGGGTATACTAGGAGTTTGAGGATTTAGAAATCCCAATGAATCGCGCTACTAGTCATTGAGGCGCCCATTTTATGCTCCGTGGCTCCCTTAGGAAAGTCAAGGAAAGCGCTATGATCCTTGTTCCTTGGCCTCGTTGAAAATTCAAGGATAGCGCCATCATCCCTGCAAAGCTCTTCGGGAACAGAGATCAGTATATCTGGGATATGCCTTCAGAGCTTCGAGAGAGGGCCCACCCCAAACCCCAAACCCCAAAGCCCCAAACCCTAAACCCTAAAGGCTTGGGGGGATGTTGGTGGCTCCGAACTCCAGCTTCGTTATCTGCTGCGCTTATCGGAGCTCTGTGCTCACGAAGCTCAGCCCATCTCACCATGCCTTTGCTTGGAGAGGCAGGCGCTTCCACAATGAAAGACACCCGAATCGAACCACGGTTTAGGGTCTAGGGTCTAGGGTTTAGGGTTTAGGGTTCAGGGTTTAGGGTTTAGGGTTTAGGGAAGTCATCGGTTCTACTTCCCCATGTTGTAAATCCGAACCCCGAATCTTTAGGTCCCTTTAAGGTCTACCCTTGATCTCGGAACCCTTGATGCCGCAACAGAGATTCCCTAAACCCCTAAACCCTTCACCACTAAACGCTTTTCAACCCTTCAACCCTAAACCCCTAAACCAAACACCCTTCAACCCCTAAACCCTGAACCCCCCCTCACACCTAAAACAACGGCGAATAACTATAGTTACCTTACTTATAACTTGCGAAGTCCTCTGAACCTTTAAGTACAACAAGCAAACCTGAGAAATAAAATTACATAATGTTAATCTACTCGTTATCAGGTACCCTGTACTACACTATACATTTCCTAGATTTCCAAAGCGCACCCGGCAAGTTACGAACCCTCACCATAGACCTCACCCCAACTGTTGCAGCTCTCTGAACGTCCTGAACCTTAAACGTCGATTCCTCGTCCCACCATAACACAAGGGCCTGAACAATTAGGATAGGGTGTTAGGTATCTTATAGTATAATAGGACTATAAGGTAATGGTTCAGGCTTTTGTGTTACCTTACACACCCTTGTCCGCAACCCTGGCTACCGTTACTGCTTCATCTCTCTTTTCAACAACCAGGCCAAACAAGTTCAACTTTTTAGAATAGACCTTATAGAGAAGCCCAAAAGTTTAAAGTTCTCCCAGTGGCTATCTAAGTTCTAGCTCAGCGGCGTCGATCGTACCAACTCCGGTTCCGGGTGGCGCGTAGAGCCAACAGTCGTTTCCGGCCCTTAGCACAAGCCAGTGGTATCCTTCGTGAACCTGGGCCTAAAAAGCCCTAAACCCTAAACCCTAAACATTGTAGGGCTGGCTTGAACTATTGAACTGCTTCCGCAAATCAACGACCATGTTCAGGATGCGGCCCCTTGCCTGAATCTCCGATTCGGTTTTGGGGCGGGATCCCGTGCACGGCTCCCTCCCAAGCAGGTCAAACCATGCCTGCAAAAATTTTCAACCGCGACACCTCAAATGCGAAGCCCTCAACCTCTAAACGCTGAACATGTAAGACACGAAATCCACAAAGCCGGAAACCCCAACACACTGAAACCCACCAACCACAAGACCGAAAACCCCAACCCAGTACCCCAAAGCTCTGAAACACTCAAGCCTTTAAACTTAAATCTATCGAATCTACCTAGAACCATCTAACGCACCGAAAAGAACACGTGAGAAACACTTAACCCTCTTAAATCTAAGCCCTATTTAAGCCCTGGCCCTCTTATTTCCATCGGGCTGCGACACACGGACCGCCTGAATGCCCTCCGGCTTCGTCCACACCTACGCAGAAGGGAGTCGGGTTACTTGGGGTAGAACTCAAGACTACACACCCTAAACCCTAGACCTTAAACCCCCAACCCTTCACTTAGACCCTGAACCCTAAACCCTAAATCCTAAACCCCTTAAGGTGCAATGGCTTCGTGTTTCCGGTTTAGGGTTCAGGGGGTTTAGGGGTTTTGGGCTGGAGTCTCTGTTTAGGGTTTAGGTCTCTTGGGGCTTCAGGGTGCAAGACAGAAGGTTTTCGATGTAAGGCTTGGGTTCAGGACCTCAGGTCAGGGTTTTAGGGGGCTTCAGGACCGTCGGGTTCAGGGTCTTAGGATTCTTGCAAGGGTGTGTTTAAAACCGGTCTAGGGTTCAGGGCTTACGCCTTAGAGTTCAGGGTCCGGGACTTTAAAGGCTGAGGATTCCTAGCTAGTTTGCAGTCCAGAATGGACTATTGTAAACGGCCACAGTTTGTTGGGGTTTTGGTTTTTAATAACTTTTTAAGCACTGTTTGGGAGAGGCTTTGAGATTTACGGTTGTAGATCAAACACTCCAACACCTCACCAGCCCAGCCATCACCACTTCGAAAATTCCGATGACCCAAGGGCCCCGAAGTCTTGCGCCTTGCCTCTGATCACGGATGTCGTTATCGGCTTTGGATTAAAGTTCAGGGAAACCCTAAACCCTAAACCCTAAGTTTAGTGTTTAGGGCGCGCGAGAAGAAACATACGTGGCCTCCAAATACCCCGGCCTCTGAGCAAAATTCGCCCAGTTCGATAATCATGGCAGGCCGTTGGCGTGCTTGGCAGTGCAACGACGTTCCACCACGACGCGAATCACCCTCACATGCTCTTCCACTTCAGTGACCCTAAAAACAAGCCTTGTTGCTCAAACCCTCCAATGTCCCTTCAGTAAGGGATATACCTTAAGTTCGAATGGGATCCTGTATATGACCTAAGGTATATACCCTAAGGGCCCAAGTGCCTAACCATCATATACTCTCCCAGCTACTAATACTATTAACCTAGATAACTTAGATAACCACTATCCGTAACCAAAGTACCTAATTATTGGGTCCTTTGGACCCTTTGGGTTAATATAGAGGCCTTAATAATTAGAAGAGGGCTTTCGGGCCCAGTCTACTACAATTACAATAAGGAAACCCCCAAAATATTATAGGTAATTATTTAGGTCCCTACATTAATTCAGGGGTATTGGAAGGTCTGGGTGCTCTTGACCGCGTGTCGAGTTTGCGGGACTTCAAGCAGCCGAACTTCGGTGACAGTGCCGCCAACCCGAAGGGAACCAATAGCCTTAAGGAATTAAGTATAACTAGGGTTCCTTTAAGATACCTAGATGAGTACTTGTGATAGGGTTCTTTGTGGGAAGCGACCGAATCTGGTTTAGGGTTTGGGGCTAGGGTTTAGGTTTAGGGTTCACGAATATGCCTAGAGGGATTGCTCTCAAGATTGAAGACATCGGAAGACGCTGTCTGCAAAGGAGCAGTGCTGTCGTTTTTCTGCTGATGGCTTTACACGTTGAGGGGCTTAAGGCTTAGGGTTTGTGCTTTTGGGGTTTACGGTGTGGGGTTTTCTGACGTCTCCACGCACGGTGTGCATTCTCCGATGCCCCAATCTTAGCGTAGCCGCCTCAAATAAACAGAATAGTTTTTTGAGGTGGCGGGGGTGAAACGGTTCAGTATTACTACACAGAAACTTTTACGCGATACCACTACTACTTCTTCAGACCTCTATAGTATACCCTGCATCTCTCTGCTTGTCTGCATAAGCTTGTTCCATGTGCAGGATGTCGAAGTCTGCCGAAGATGAATATGCACAACCCTCACCCTACACCCTAAGCCCTCTACTCTGCCTAGGATGGAAAAGAAACATTGCTGGATTGAAAGATTGAAACCTTCAAGGAGTCTTGTGCTGTGAGGATCCGCCGGCAACCGCAACCTGTGGTTTTCAGGCTAATAGCTAACAAACACAGATACATATATTTACATAGATGTATGTACATATGTATATATATATATATCTACCGACCGACCGACCGACCGACCGACCGACCGACCGACCGACCTACCTACCTACCTACCTACCTACCTACCTACCTACCTATCTATCTATCGATCGATTCATCCATCCATCCATCCATCCATCCATTCA